AGGTTGAGAAGTTAGAGGGTTGACATGTTGTGGGGTTGTTAACCAATGTCATAAAACAATATGTGTACTACTGTTTCATGAGAAACTATTTGTTCTGTACGCCTTCACCTGAAGTACAATAAAAAAAAGAAAAGAAAAGAAAATGCATCCTACTTTGGTGAGTGGTGTCTGGGGTCTTAAAAGCTTGCAAGCGGCCATCTAAGATGCATCAATTGGTACCAACCACATGGAATAAAGGAGAATGAAGAACACCAAAAATACAAGGAAAGTAGTAGCCCAAGAGACTGAAAGGGCCACATAAACCAGAGACTTCATCAGCCTGAGACCAGAAGAACTAGATGGTGCCTGGCTACCACCGATGACCACCCTGACAGGGAACACAATAGAGAGTCTGGGATGGAGCAGGAGAAAGGTGGGGTGCAGAACTCAAATTCTAGTAAGAAGACTAGACTTAATGGTCTGAGACTGGAGGAACCCCCGAAAGCATGACCCCTGGATTCTCTCTGAGCCCAGAACTAAAATAGCTTCCAAGGCCAACTCTTCAGACAGGGATTGAACTGGACCGTGGGATATAAAGTGATACTTGTGAGGAGTGTGCCTCTTAGGTCAAATAGATGCAAGAGACTAAACGGGCATCTTCTGTCAGGAGGTGAGATGGGAAGGCAGACAGTGTTACAAGCTGGTTGAATGGACATGGGTATCAAGGATGGAAGGGAGGAGTGTGCTGTCACAGTATGGGGAGACCAATTAGAGTCACATAACTATGTATAAATTTTTATATGGGAAAAAATAAATAAAAATTGTTTTAGAATGCTCTGCAAACTCAGGAATAAAATCTTTCCCTGCTAGTCACATATCCACCAGGATCTAGAACACATTCAACGAAGGCTGTTAACACTGCAAAGCAGTTGGACTTCTTTGCATTCCTACCGTTTCAGACCAAGAAATATTCAATTGCAAACCTTTATGTAATTTCACTTATGTGCTCACAAGTTTCCTTCCTGTGCCTTAATGGAGCTGTTCCCTTTCTATTTGAAATGCTTATTCATCCGTCTAGACTTTTTCTAGGTGCTCAGCCTTTGCTCAATATGGTCAGTACTCTTTGCGCTCCGCAAGGAATTTCTAGCATTATTGGGAGCCGCCAGGTAACTAAGAGTTGTGCTTTCATGTTTGAGGGTGGCAATTTACAAGTGTATGCATCTATGATAAAAGGGTAAAATTCATTTAGATAAATTCACCTATATTATGCCATACATACACACACCCTGCATATTGTCATTGCCTATGTTGTTTGTTAAAGAAGAACGCATGTTTATTGTGTTCAGGGAGGGCAGTTCTCCTCAGGAAGACATACATAAGTATGTTGCTTTGATACATTGTTACATGTATGAAATAGGGTGTTTATAAAGTTGTATGGAAATAGAAAGGTAACAAACCGATTTTATGGTGAGAATATGAGATTAGGAATAAGGAAAGGAAAGAAAGGCAGAGTTCAGTGAGGGATGAGGGTTTTATCTGGGCAGCATTATTTCTGACAAAAGATCATGACTGCTTTCTCTTTGTGGTACCTAGAATATATTTCTGTTTATTCTTGTTCATCTTTTTCAACTGAGATTTTTGTTTGCCCGTGCTTAGCAGTTTACTTGTGTAAGTCAGTTTTCTGGTTCTGTGTCTTCAGTTTAATTTCCGTATTTATTTCAGTTACCTCTCTAAACCCTTTCAAGTCATGCTGAAAAATTGTCGATGGCTCTCAGTTCCCGATCATGTATTTCATAATCACCTGAGTCACTCTTTAAAGGGCAGATTGAGGCTCCCTTGTCAGACTTGCTGAATCACCATCTCTGTTACAAGAGATCAGAAATAAGCATTTTAAAAAATCTGCCTAGGTGGTATTTTTTAGAACCAGAGAATCTAACCATTATTTTTTTAGCAGGCCTTCCAGTCTCCTTCACAATTTGACCCAGCCTTCCATTACCTAACAAAACAGTATTTATTGTTTCTGTGTCTTTTACTTGTTCTTCTCTTCTAGGATACTTTTCCTCACCTTTGCCTCATCTGCATGTGACATTGTATGCCATCTCCTCCATGAAGCCTTTCTTAAATCCTCTGAGTTACATATTCCTTGCTGTGTTCTCCGATAGTACTTTGTACATAGTGTACCTTTATTATTATACCCCCACTGGATTGTGAGCTCTTTGAGGGCAATGTCTTAGTCATAATCTATCTGTAACACAGTCCCAGACTATGAGAGGCACTAAATAAATGCTTGCAGATTTTCTAAATACCTCAGCAAGTTTTTATTGTCTACATTTTTCTTTCATCTGTGTGCTCAACTCTAGTTCTAATGACATTAAAAAATAGGCTTCAAACCTCTGATACATTTAAAATTGCATTGTGATACATCTTTTAACAGCTGCTCTTATAATCTGATTTTCATGTTAAAATTATTTAACCAGCTCACAATGCTGGAAGTGAGATGATTTATCACATTACTTTGATGTAAGACAGTATCAATTTACAGTAAATTAAAATGACTGTCAAATTTGTTTTCAGCAGTTTTATAACATTCGTAGATGAAGCCAGATATTATAGAAGCTAAGTAATCCTCTTCTTTAGTATAAACAATTGGTGAACTGATCTTAAAACAAACTTCTTTTCCTAATAAAGCTTAGCTATATATTATTGAGGAGGAAAAGACATAGATTGTTTTTTAAAAAAATAATTTTCAATATATTTTTTCATTCTCAGTTCCTCATTTCTACACAGGATTGAACATGTCTTTTTTCCATACAAAACCAAATTAATCTGCTAGTTTCAAGTCTTGTTTTGTTAATTCCTAGCTGTGTGTCAAGGATTTCTTAACCTCTTTGTGCCTCTGTTTATTTGTAAAAGTGATATAACAACAGGAGTATTGTTATTTAACATATGGAAATAATTTGGAATATTGCTTATACATAAGCCTATGCATGTTAGCAATTATTATTTTCATACCCTTTTTCTTTATTATTTTCTTTTGTCTGTTATTGTTGATTCCATGGTTATCTTTTTTAAAATAACCTGTATCTCAAAAAGCCATGTGTCATAATGCCTGTACATCTGGTGTTCTCACTGTGCTGGTATATCGATGTGGCATTAGATTTTGTATTTGCATAGGAAAAAACATTTTGTTTTAATTTTTTTATTTTAGAAAGCTTTTTACATCATCAGTAATATTTTTCCTGTGCTAATATTTTAAAGCATGCTCAATAATTTAAAAATATTTCATCCGTATACATAATCATTTTTATTTTTACCCTTTGCTATTTGTCTTCCAGGAATGCTTCTAGTCACAACAGACACCCTTGGCCATGACTTCCATGTCTTCCAAATTCTGACTCATCCTTGGTCCTCATCACAAAGTGCTGTCCATCATCTGTATACTCTGCACAGGGGAGAAACTGAAGCCAAAGTAAGTTTATCTTTTTTTAGAAGGCCTTTTCTTTGTGCAATATGGCATCTGATCTAGCTACTCATTTATATCACATTGGAGATTAATGTTATTGCTAGTGAGAAAATATTATTCTCAATGATAGAGTGGGATAATTAATAAGTGTTTATCACATTTCTCACCCAATAAATACACAAGTAATAAGTTAACACCTTATTGTTAAAATCATTCATGGTAGGAGTATTTACATAATGGAAATCAGCAAATGCTACAAATCAGGGCTTTTGTTTTTCCTTTGGAGAGCCAGGTTTCTTTCTTTTTGTTATAAAATATATGCAACATAAAACTTGCCATTTTAAAGTATACAATTCAGTGCATTAATTACAGTCACAATGTTGTGCAATCATCACTACTATTTCTAAAACTTTTTTCATGACCCCAAATAGAAACTTTGCACCCTTTAAACAACAACTCTCCCCTCCACTGCTATCTCCCTGCTTGTTAATAGCATGTAATTTTATTTCCAAGTAATAATAAGGAAAAACCTAATCTATTGATTAGTAGAATCTTGGCATTTTTATAGTATAAGTCCTATTTGAACTTACTTGTCAGCTTTTAACTAAAATGCGTAGATCTTGAATCATTAAACCTCTACCTTAAATTTTTCATCCTTGTTGTTTTCCATTGCTACAGTTCAGAAAAGGCTACATATGTAAAATGGGTTTGCATGTTTTTCTTCATCTCAGATATTTTATTCTGCAGTTAAATTGGGAAATCTTAGTTTTTGGCACTGAACAAGTTTCCTAAGCTATCACCATTGAGCATTTTATTCAAACCAGCTGCTCCTGGGTGAGAGAGACCCAGAGAATTGAGTTTTAGTCACTAAAGCAGTATCTTTTATTTCTCCTAATGTTCACATCAGGCAAATTATCATTTATGTAAATTTCATTTCATTTATGATTAATTATGGTGATATTCAAGTTCTCACATGTACAATGCCTAATTTCTTCCCTCTGGAAGAATACTTGCAATGTATTAACCTTCTTGAGGGTATAGAGTGTTTATTATACTTGTTTATTTTTTATTTGTACAATGCCTACGGTTAAGTATGTTTTTCAGTTTCTGTCGAGTTTAATGAAACTGATCTTTCCATTAAAATTTCAGATTAGAAGTGTATTATTTGGATCATGATTTATGCTTTTCATTTATGGCATATTCATATTAAGATTACCTTATTCCCTCTCTTTCTTATCCAGGTAAAGTTAATCTCTTCCTTCCTTGTGTCACTTGTTTTATAACTGCATAATAGCACTTGTTATTTTATGTTTTGATTGGTTGTCTACTTGCCTGTGTCCATTAATACTGTGGTTTCATTTAAATAATAAATTGTGCCTTATTGGCATAAGTTTTGATATGTTCTTTCATTTTCATTTGACCCTAAGTATTTTCTGATTTCTCTCTTGATTTATTTCTTGACCCATCGATTATTTAATAGTGTGTTGTTTAATTTCCACATATCTGTGTATTTTCTAGTTTTTCTTTTGCTATTAGTTTCTAATTTTATCCCGTTGTGGATGGAGAAGACTTATTTGTGTCGTTGGTCTAAGATCTGTCTCATGTAGATAGTGTGTAGATGGGTCATGCATTTTCATCCATTCTGCCAATCTCTGTCTTTTGATTGGCATGTTTAATCCACTTACGTTTAAGGTAATTGCCAATAAGGAAAGACTTATACCATTTTGATATATTTTTTTGTATGTCTTATACCTTCTTGTCCTTTGTTTCTTCAAATACTGCCATCATTTGTGTTCAGTTGATTTTTGGTAATGAACCATTTTGATCCCTTCTGTTTTCCTTTTTTGTATATATTTTAGATATTTTCTTTGTGGTTACCATGAGGATTACATTTAACAACTTAATTTGTAACAACCTAGTTTAAACTGATACCAGCTTAACTTTAGTAACATATAAAATTCTGTTCCTATCTGCTCCTTCTACCTTATGTAGTTGTTACCATAAATTACATCTTTATACATTATTTTCCCATTAACATAAATTTATAATTATATTTTCTGTATTTGTCTTTTGCATGTAGAATATAACTCCTTACAGTTAGTAACCAAAGATACCATAAAATTGTCCCTTGCATTTGTGCATGAGATTACTTTTATCAGAGATCTTTCTTTTCTACATACATCTTTAAGTTATTGTCTAGAGCATCCTTTCAGTTCTATCCAAAAGAACTCCCTTTAGCATGTCTTCCAGTGCAAGACCAGTCATCACAAACTTCCACAACTTTTGTTTATCTGGGAATGTCTTAATTTCACCCTCATTCTTGACAGTTTTGTCAGATAAAAAATTCTTAGTTGGCAGTTTTTTTCTTTCAGCACTTTAAATATGTCATTCCACTGTTTTCTGGCCACCAAGGTTTCTGAGGAGAAATTGGCACTTAATCTTATTGAGGATTCCTTGTACGTGACAATTTGCGTCCCTCTTGCTGCTTTAAGGATTCTGTCTTTATCTTTGGTTCTCGAGAGTTTGATTATAATGTGCCTTGGTGTGGATCTGTTTGGGATTATACGCTGCTATCATTATTTGTTTTAATGCTTAAGATTTCCCAGATTTGCCATTGGGAGGCCATTAACTTGGCATCTGTGTTCTTTTGACATATCTCTATCATTCTTTCAACACTTACTTTCTGGCACAACCTACTTGCATACTGTTGATTTAGTCACTATTTAATTTTGTTTCTTTTGTATGTAAGTTGTAAATTAGATGTGAGCTAAACAAGATGGCATGTTTGAGGTCAAGATTTAATTATTCAGTATATTGCTGAATGCATTTTGTTTCTTAACTCTTTTTACAAACCCTGACCTAGTCTGTACTGGTCATTGGTATTCTCTACTTCGGCTGTAACTCCCTGGTATTTGAATATTTTAAGCATTGAAAACTGATTTTTAATACCTTGTGTGTATTTGCACTGTTTATCTTTTAATATACCTACCATTCCAACCTGGATACAGAAGTCATGCTTAGCTTCTTCCTATCTCTTGTCCTTAGAACAGTGCCTTACATATGGTAGGTACTTGGCAAATGTTTGCTGCTGTCAGTGTTATTCCCATTTGACAGGCCAGAAAACTAAATAGAAATTATTGTAATGATTTTGCTCTAGGTCATACCCTAGAAGATCGGGAATTTCTAAACACCAAACATCAATATGTAAGGACCCTTGCCTGATCAAAAGGGGGAACAGAATTTAAAATTTTCATGGAATCCACATTTCTGGAGCCAATGGAGGCTGGATGAACCCCTAAAACTATTGCCCTGAGATAATCTTTAAACCTTAAACCAAAAATATCCCGTGAAGTCTTCTTAAAACCAAACGATAGTTCAGCTTAATCAGTAAAGAATGTCTGCTGTGAGCATTGTGCTCTTTTAGGAACTATCTATGTTCTATCAAATTGACAACAGTAATTCAAAAGATTAAGTAGGAAACTTAGACGGAGGAACAATTTGGAAAAGGAGGGTGAGAATGGTTGCACAACTTGAAGAATGTACCTGTTTTTACACAATAACACGCACCTTCTACATTTGCTTGCCAACTGCTCCCTCCCCCTGCGAAGTATTTTTATAAGCACCACTATGCCATTTTTTGTAACATGTTACTGTAAAAAATTAGCATAATATGCTTAGGAAAATATGTTGCGGGGAAGAGAGTGTGGTTGGCAAACAAACATAGAAGCTGCACATTATTTGCGTAAAAATACAGTAATCAATGTCACTTAATTGTACATTTATAAATTATTGAAGTGGTGTATGTTCTGTGTATGTTCTCAACACCAACAACAAAAATAAAATTAAAAAAAAATCTAACGAACCTCATTTAGGGACTATACAATTAATTTTTATAAGATTCTACTGAAAATCGTTTTGAACTGATGTATAGAATGCAGCACTGACGATGAAATCTATATGGCATGTGAACTATCTAGCCTTTTTTAGTACTTTTCAAAATTATGTCATTCTGGATTTTTCTAGGAACTCTGAGGGTACTTTAATCAGGCAAAGAAAAGAAAATCAAGTATGTGGATCTAATTATGTTGAATTAAGTTGTTTTGTGGCCTATGACTTGGAATATCATCTGCATCTGACAGTAATTTTCCTCATAAAGCACATATGCAGCAAGAAAAATATTCCTTATTTTTAACGGTAGAGTCATATGTGCTATAAACCTTACAAGTGTTTTGTTAATGTATCTCCATAATGTCTCACTCAAGCACAGTCACTTTTGTAAATAACATGCTCCTTTTGGTAAATGGCAAACTTTCTTTGAAACATCTATAAATGACGTAAGTGTCTAACAGCATTACTTTTACTGTTATCAGAGCAGTACTATAAAATAGTATGATTAATATCTTTAATCATCAAGGGAGAAAAAAAATCTGGTTATATTATTAAATTAATACTATTTGGTGGTTGGAAACCCTCATGGTATAGTGGTTAAGAGCTTGACTGCTAACCAAAAGGTCGGCAGTTCGAATCTACCAGCCACTCCTTGGAAACTCTGTGGGGCAGTTCTTCTCTGTCCTGTAAGGTCACTATGAGTCGGAAGTGACTTGGTGGCAACAGGTTTCATTTTTTGGTTTTATTTGATGGTTATTTCAGATAAAAACCAGTAATTTTTTTGAAGTATAAGTATGTCCCAAATATTGCCTGCTTATACTTATACTGACATTCAGCTAACTGGACCTTCTGTATTTTTATTTGGTAAATCTGGCAACCCTATGCATTACCCTGGGGTCCTGTGGGTTTCTTCATTTTTTTTTTTTTTTTTAGAAAAAATATAAACTTTATTGAGGTATATTTCAGATAACAAAAATTATACCTTTCCAGCATACAATTCATTGGTTTTTAGTATAGTCACAGAGTCATGCAACCATCACCACTATCTAATTTCAGAAATTTTTATCATGACCAAAATAAACCCCTTACTCATTAATAGTCATTTTCCTTTCCCCCTC